GAGCGGTTCTGTTCTGCGGGCTCTGTTCTGCGGGTTTGTTCTGTGTAACCCCTTTTTTCTGTTTCATTGTTGTTCCTGTTCCCTTTGTTTGCTGTTCTGTTAAACTGCCCTTATCCCGACCCACCAGTTTCTGCCTGTTTCTTTCCATTCTCCTCCGCACCCCAGCGGAAGGAGGGGCGGCCGCGTGGCGCTTTTGTTGCCGGCGGCAGCCGAAACCAAAACAATCTTGATTTAAAGTTAAGTTGTTACTGGTTCCTCTTTCAGAAAGGTGGTTTAATGGATATATGGCAATATCTAAAAGGAGGTTTAAGGTCGTACTCACAGTGGCTGACTTAAACAAAGGGAGGCTGGCTACCCTAAGCTCCTACATACAGAAAGGATAAGTGTCCTTCATTAGGGAAAATCAAAGCAAAACCGTAGTTTTGATTTGTCTCTAAATTGTGTTTAAATAAGCCTCTCTCTCATAACAGAGACATTTGAGGTCAGTGTCATTAGATCAGGATTAGATTTTGTGTGCAGAGGTCCTGCAACTGGTATTTTTTGTGTAGCGTGGAAATATTTTCAAGTGTGTGTTTGATGTCCTCTGTGTACACCTGACAGATCAGACATGGGCACACCCCACTTCCAGAGTCTAAGTTCAGGAGATGCTCAAGCCCGGAGAAGATGTGTACTCTTCTGTGGACTTTCCCATAGCATAAATGTAGAACATCCTACCCCCCGCCCCGGTCTCCCCAGTTAAAATAAGCACTAATGGCCAATCTCAGCTACCTAAAGACATTCAGATTTTGATTCACTCTCTTGAACCTCCATCGTGTGTTTCAGTCCAGGTTTTATAGTCACAAGTCCATTTAAAAAAATCTCTCTGAGTCTAGTTCATGTCCTTCAAGAGAGAATCTGAGGATAGGATGACCATACTGACCTCAAATGTTGTACTTCATGATCAAAGTGTATCATACAGTTGTGGGAAGCCTTCATAATATATTGAATCATAGCAGTAATTCTGCAAATAAGCAGCAAATTTTAGTCACCCATGAAATCAGACATGTTTTGTAACAAATAGACTCATTATGTATTAAATACAGCTTTTTTACCAAATAGAAATTTCACTGGTTTTCTCTTAATAAAAAATGCCTCTCCTGCATAATAGGTGCCTTCAATGCTTTTTGAGTCAAAGGGAAAAATGTGAAATTGGAATCTTCAAAAAAATCAGTCTCTGTGATGGTTCCTGCATAGCCACTTAATCATGCAATCTGTTTTTTGTTTGTTTTGCTAATGGGTGAGAACAAAGATGGACAGATAAGAAAAGTAGTGAGCATCTCCAAGGAACCAGAAACCAATATGACAGAAAATACGAGATCTCTCAGAAACTTTTTTCTTTACAAGTGTCTGTTTGCATTAACTTTTTGGAACCATGTCAGCCTGTCTGTAGAAAATGAACTCTTTACATCTGTTTCTCATAATTTTCCAGAAGATGGTTCTGGCAAAAAAATCAAGAGTCTGCCACTCCTGTATACAAATAGTTATCAGTCTAAAGCTAATTTTGGGTGGGTTGTGGTAGAAAATACTACAGAAAGCCTGTTATTGTCAGAAATCACAAATGACAATGTAGAAAAATTAGTAGCTTTATTATCTAATTTCAGACAAGGCTCCAGGTTACAGAATTTGACACTAACAAATGTGTCAGTGGACTGGAATGCTCTTATTGAAATTTTTCAGACTGTATGGCACTCATCCATTGAATACTTCAATATTAACAACGTAACACAATTGTCGGACATTGAAAGCTATGACTTTGACTATTCAGGTACCTTTATGAAAGCACTAACAATGAAGAAAATTTTAATCACAGATATGTACTTCTCACAGGAGGACCTATACAAAATATTTGCAGACATGAATATTGCAGCCTTGACAATAGCTGAATCGCAGATGATACATATGCTGTGTCCTTCGTCTGACAGTTCCTTTAGATACTTAAATTTTTTAAAGAATGATTTAACAGATCTTCTATTTCAAAGCTGTGACAGATTAATTCAACTGGAGACATTAATCTTGCGGAAGAACAAATTTGAGAGCCTTTCCAAGGTAAGCTTCATGACCAGCCGTATGAAATCACTGAAATATCTGGACATGAGCAGCAACTTGCTGCGCCACGATGGAGCTGATGTGCAGTGCCAATGGTCTGAGTCGCTGATAGAGCTGGACTTGTCCTCAAATCAGTTGACGGAATTGGTGTTTGAGTGCTTGCCGGTCAACATCAAAAAACTCGACCTACAAAACAATCAGATCAGCAGCGTCGCCAAGGGGATGGCTGAGCTGAAATCCTTGAAGGAGCTGAACCTGGCATCGAACAGGCTGGCTGACCTGCCGGGGTGCAGTAGCTTTACATCCCTGGAGTTGCTGAATGCAGAGATGAACATGATCCTCACCCCATCTGCCGACTTCTTCCAGAGCTGCCCAAGAGTCAGGGAGCTACAAGCCGGGCACAACCCGTTCAAGTGTACCTGTGAACTGCAAGCCTTTATCCACCTGGAGAGGCAGTCTGGGGGGAGGCTGTTCGGCTGGCCGTCGGCGTATGAGTGCGAGTACCCGGAAGGCTTGCGAGGAACGCAGCTGAAGGACTTCCACCTGACGGAACTGGCTTGCAACACGGCGCTGCTGCTTGTGACGGCTCTGCTGCTGACGCTGGTGCTGGTGGCTGTGGTGGTCTTTCTGTGCATCTACCTGGATGTGCCGTGGTACGTGCGGATGACATGGCAGTGGACGCAGACGAAGCGGAGAGCTTGGCACAACCACCCTGAAGAGCAGGAGACAGTTCTGCAGTTCCATGCGTTCATTTCCTACAGCGAGCGCGATTCTTTGTGGGTGAAGAATGAGCTGATCCCGAACCTGGAGAAGGGGGAGGGCTGTGTACAACTGTGCCAGCATGAGAGAAACTTCATCCCCGGAAAGAGCATTGTGGAGAACATCATTGACTGCATTGAGAAGAGCTACAAGTCGATCTTTGTGTTGTCGCCCAACTTTGTGCAGAGCGAGTGGTGTCACTACGAGCTGTACTTTGCCCACCACAAATTATTCAGTGAGAATTCCAACAGCTTAATCCTCATTTTACTGGGGCTGGGGGGCAGAGATGTGGGGAAACAGTTTAAGACTCTTTCTCATGGAGTTTCTTCTGTTTTTTCCTTGGTGAAGTAATAAATGCTTTATGATTTCCAGTGGTTGTCAATGCATTTAACTTTTTGCTACAGAACCTTGTTTCTACCTAACTGTCTATGCTGCATCCTAACTGCAGGCAAAATTCAACTACCTTACTGGAATTCTCTTGAGATTGATACAGAGACAGCAAATCACAAATGTGGAAGAGTGAATTGCTGGACATTTTGCAGAGCTGTATTAATCACAAGGCTTCAGCAGCTTAGTCACAGGATCTCTTTTGCTAAAATTTGTTTGCAACAAAGAAAATTACGCATCCTGAGAAGATGTCTAGAAGTCCAGATCTTGAGATGGTTCCTGGGTAGTGTTTTCACAGATTCAGTGAAGCTTAAAAGGATGCGACCTACATACAGGACTCTGTGAACATCCAGCACAGGTGGACAAAAATGGCCGTGCCACAAAAGAGGACTGAGTGAGGAAGAAAGGTCTGGGTTTTTTTAAAAAAAAATATGAAAAGAAAAAGAAAATGAAAGACTAGCTACTTCCTCTATTGGGGCTCATAGTTTGGCACTGCTGCAAGGGAGAAGCAGTGAATTGACAATCAGAGCTCGAATTCCCATCCCCTGGTTAGAGTCCTTGTACCATTTTGATCCTGAGAGATACCCTGACCAGAGGGACCAAGGAAGTATCTACAGTAACAGAACTGCCTTCATTTGCCTGAGGTATAAGTACGCTGAGGTCTCTTGACTTGAAGTCTTGAACTGTGAGTGACCGTTTAATGATTTAGAATCATAGAGTTATAGAAAGGTTTGGGTTGGAAGGGGCCCCTAGAGGTCATCTAGTCCAACCCCTCCGCAGTGAGCAGGGACACCACTAACTAGATCAGGTTGCTCAGAGCCCTGTCCAACCTGGTCTTGAATGTTTCCAGGGATGGG